TGTTGTCCTGATGATGATGATGATGATGATGATGATGACGATGATGATGTGGGATTTGGAGCAGCATTTCTTCATGGAGATCATGCTGTGTAGAGTGTAGTGTAGAGTGCATCGCAGATAGTGCCAGCACCGTAGCCATTTTGGCCCACATCTGACCGGCAGCCCTCTGCTCCAGCTCCGCCGTGCAATTTACCCGGCAAAGGCGCCGAATCCCTCCTACCGCCCGACCGACGATGAGATCTACCGCTCCCTGGCCCACCTGCCCGTTGAACGGACCAGTGCTATGCGATCTGTAACATTGCTCAACCAGCTCCGCCCCACCCCCGCACCGGCCAGTATCCGCCAGTATCCGGACCGGTCCCAAACCAGTGCTATGCGATCTGTAACATTGCTCAACCAGCTCCGCCCCACCGCCGCACCGGCCAGTATCCGGACCGGTCCCGCCTTGGCGGAGGCCCCGGAGCATTTACCTGCCCGCGGAGCCTGGCTCGTTTCCTATGCCGAGTTGTTTAAGTTTTGTTGAAGACTCCCCCCTTCCCCCGCGGTGGGTTCTGCGCCAAGAGCCTCGGCCCGGCCTGGCACATTTAAGCGTGAGGGTATTGCTTTCACGATTGCTTTGGCAAGGTGGCCGTTTGGGCGCCGCGCCGGGCCTGTCACAGCTCCGGAGTGGCCCCGGGCTCCGGCCGTCCCTGCCCTGTCCGCGCCTTCGTGGTGCTCCCGGCCCCTTGCATCTGAACCAGTGTCACACCCCCTTCTTCGCCCCGCCATCATCATCTGCCGACTCCTGTTGCTTGTTCCGGTGGTTGTCCTGGCCTTGACTTTCCCCGGGATTGCAGGCCTGATTGCTTGCCAGCGGCCAAGCCGCCCATGTTGGACCGTGTCGGCGCCCAACCCGTGCTTGTGTTGCCAAAGCCACTGCTATCGTGGTTGGCCTTTGTGGTGATGTCCTTCCCATCGGACCGATTGTGCATGCCGGCTTGTTTTGGCTGCTGACTCTGCGGAGGCGTCATCCACGTCCGAGGTTGCCGCCCGATCCCTTGCTCACTTCCGAAGCCTTTCGCTGCACTGTGTTCTTGCGTACTAAGTCCCTGCCTAATCCGAGCGAGCTCCGGACCTGGGCCATTGCCAAGAAGTCGGCATGGGTTCTGCGTGCCACCACTGGCTGCACGTCACGTCGGCCTCGTCCGGCCTGTCTACCGTCTCCTTTAAGGCTTTAAGGCCCTTAGTTGGATGTCCCGTGTTGCCGGCCTGCCTTCCGTTCACAGCCAGGCAAAGTCCCTTGTGTACGGCATTCCTCACTGCTACCGCCCTGACGTTTCCTCCCGCTGTTCGTGTCGCCCGTGCACCGGTCTCGCGCGATGCTCTGGCTGCGCTCGCTTCTCGACGAACGCTGGAGAGCACACAGCCCCGACCCGCCTCCAGCAGAACATGCCCTCTTACGGTGTTCACAGTTGCAAGGCTACAGTGCGATCTTGGGCGCGTCAGCTCTCTCTCTCTCTCTCTGTCTCTGTCTCTCTCTCTCTCTCTCGACCCGGAACTGCGTCGCCTACATGGTCATCATCGCCCTTGCTCGGTTGAGGGATCTGTCCGCGTGTGCAGCAGGGGTGACGTCGGCCCGCTTTTCAGGCTGCAAGCCGAAATCGGACGCGCCCGAAACCACCTCGCTGGGCGATGCGGCCAGCGAGTCTGCAGACGCAGACGTTTCGGAAGACAGCTCTGACTCAGAGTGTTCCGTTGCATCTGCCGGCTCCGCCCGTTCTATCCAGCTTGACCTATGGGGTCCAGAGTTGTCTTGGGTATGCTTGCCTGCGGTGCATCCGTAGGACAACTGAACTCTGACGGGTCGTGGTGCCTACCCGTCCTTCCCGGCCCGCGCCGCCAGGGATCAGGAGGGTGCGGTGCTCCTTCCGGCCGCTCCGGAGTAAGCGACCTGGAGGACTTGTCCGACGAAGAGCTCTTGACATTGCTGCGCCGCCGTTCGGCCGGCTTTCTGTCCCGGCTCGTGAAACTCTGCGTCGTGCGAGTGCTCCGTCCCGCACATGAAACCGTCTCCTTCCGGGCTCGAACCCTGAGTGCCCGAATCCCTGCGGGCGCCGCATCGACCGACCCGTCGGCGAGACGAGATTACCGTGCCATGGCACCTCATTTGCTGTCCGCCTTGCTCGGCCTACTTCCCTCCAGAGGTCCATGACACCTCCCTCTTTCCGGCCATTGCCGCTGCCGCATCTGCATAATGGATTTCTGTTGGCTTCGTTTCCCCCGGTGCGGGTACTCCATCGCCATGTGCACGGTCTCTTGGTGCTCTCCTGAACTCTCTTGGCGTGGGACTGCCTTTTTGCAAGGCTCCTGAAGCTTTCGAATACCACCCCCTGCACATACCAACGTCGCACCTCCTTACCTCTAGCAAATCCTAATCCGCACCCAGTGCCACCTTCCTCATTTCTAGCAGATACGAATGCCATTCTGCACTGAAATACTCGTAGCACCTCCTTGATTCCTAGCAGTACCAATCCGCACCGCTCTGCACTTCTGATTGCAAAGACCCCGCAACCCCCACCCCCCAGCCTGAGTCAACCCCAACCCCACACCCCACACCCGGATACCACGTGCGGTCAATCATCAGCGGCTGACCTGATTTTGTCCGCTGTTGCTATCAAAAGTTTTCTCCTCAGATAGAAAAACTCCATTGTGTCTTCAGGGTCCTGGCTCTTCGTCTCGGAGTAAACGACAAGTTTGCCCTTTCCAAGAGCGTATATGCCTCTGTGCTCGCGCTTTTTCCAACTTGACTCGTTCATGTTGTCTCGATGCAGCTCATCTTCAAGAGCAGACAGTCTTTGCGATTTCGGTTTGCTAGTGTGCGGTAAACTTGAAGTTTGACAAGTCAAAGGGTTACAGGTCCGCAAACGATCGCAGAATGTTTATGTGAAAATATCGATTCAACATCCATGGAAGGATTGCGGAGATGCATATGGGCACAGGACGTGCAGAACAACATGAGCATCATGTGACCGAGTAACAAACAAAACAGTTGCGATCTCTTCACTTGTTTCTGATGAAGGGTGGGCGCTGATAGAAGTCATGCCAATGATACATCTTGACTTTGGACAGATGAAGAGTTCAACGGTGAGTGGATACATCGGGAGTGGAAGTACTTGCTGGTCTTGATACATTTATTGCTGGCAATGGCAATGCTTCTTTCGGTTCTACTGCTAGCTTTGCCGGATTCACAGCTTCTCATAAAGGTCTTAGGAATCCAAACCAAAATCTAAAAAAAATTCGCTCGGTAGATACTATACCAGCAGCAACAACTTGACGAGATGAGCATTTTCTGTTACAATACAGAGCACCAGACCCAACCACGCGCACTGCCGCACTGCTCCGTTGAATAACCGGAAACTGAAAAGCATACGGCATACGCAATATGGTACCTGGGGTACGGCTGAGTGGCGGAGACTGGTCAAGCAGTGGAGGTACAGGATAGGACAAGAGTCGAGTAGCGGGATGGAACGGAATCATGTGACATGCGACAACAAATTCACGCGAAGCAGGCCTTGCTAGGCAATGAAGCTTTCCGTGCTTTGCCTTTAACTTTACGATTTGCGAGAGCGTGGAAACCCAGAGGAAGAGCTATTCCACTTTCAAGGTATAAAGCATGTTAGATAAGCTGATTTGGGGTGTATAAAGAAAGCACTCACTTAACACTAAGGGAACCGAATCTAATCGCAACTTAACAACAGCGCACTCTGCTCTTTGAAAATTGAAGTTAACATTAGCACAAACATGACAAAATGATTTGACAGAATCGAAAGACTACATACCTCAAGCTTGAAGCCGTGCCAGCGCACAAGGCACTACCTGAGGCAATGCAGCAGACCAAGCCCAGAGAAACCAACGACAATTTTTTCTTCATAATTCAAAAAAACGAAACCAACACCAAGATGACGCCAGCGAAGATCCCCAGGCCCAAACCGTGAAAAACCGCCACGACCACCAGAAAAAAAACACCAAAGTCCTCAGTGGGCGCTTGACCATCAAAGATTGCCTGAAGTCTTCACTGGGATGGCATCAGCCAGAGTTATGGGTAGTACGATGTTACGCGTTTTCCATGAGTGGAACATGTTCCCGTTCATGCATTTCAGGTTGACGAATCATTGGATAAGGTTGTGGATATGGATTTGGATTCTACCTGGGCTTGTTGATCCTGGTGTAGAAACGGATTGAAATTCAGAGCATTGCCGTGCGCTCCTGAAAGGACGCCCCTTACACTGCATGCGCAGTGGACTGTCTTCGGAAATGCAACTGGGTGTGGAGACTCAGATGCTGAACCCGATTGGGCTTCGCACAGCATTGGAGCTGTCCTTGATGGCAGTGAGGCTGGCAGCTTGTGCGGCACTGAGTCAGCGCTCTCGCGGGATGCGTCGACGTCACCTGCTGCAGGTTGGCGCGCAACGCCTGTCTAGTCAGGATGCGACATGTATGTTGGTGAACAGGCCTGCAAGGTGGATTCCGTCACAGACGTGGAGCTCGGTTCAGGCGGCATGGCAAGCTGATGATAACACCAAGAAGTTTTTGTGCGACGGCGTGTCTCTACCCATGTGTCCCTCCCCTCCTCTCCCCTCCTCGCTCGCTCTCGCTCTCTCTCTCTCTCTCTCTATGTCTGTCTCTCTCTCTCTCTGTCTCTCCCCTTGCAAAAAAGATTTCTGTATATACATGAGCACAAGAATATATATATATATCTATATATATATATATATCCGTGCATGCATATATATATATATATATTATGCACACACAAGCATCTCTCCCTGCCTTTCGCACATCCTCCTCCTGTCTTCCCGAGAATTTGACCTTGTGCTGAACCCTAGCATGGTGAAGAGCTTTTGCAAAGGTGGTTGTGTTTTGTTTACAGTGATATCTCAGCAGAAGCTTGCCAGTTCTGGCACTGTTGCACCCAGTATTGAGGTACTGAGTACCTGAGAATTTGACCCAGAGCTCTTGACCAACACAAATGCCTGCCCTGACATATCGCAGTGGTCCGCTGCCGTACAGCCGTCCGGTTAGTGAAGTTGAATGTCTCACTGAACTGGATGTCGGTGTTCACTTCAGCTCAACATGTCCAAGCTAATTCTGCAGATGCCGCGGCTTTGCTCAACGAAGTTCTTGATGTGCTGCGGAAAGCAAATCGACCCCTTCAGCGACCTGGACTGCAAGCACATGCAAGCATCAATACGGTCGGAAGGCAGGGGCGATCACTGTGGTCAGTCGTTTCCACTCAATTTGCCCGGGCTGCGCCGAGTTTGACCGAGCTCGGGTCTGCCGTGGAGTGGAGTGTGGAACGGCGGCTGAAGCACGGGCGCTTTGCATCTTTTGTCCGCAGAGGCCCAGCTGCGAATCGGAAAGTTGTCCTGTTTCCATTGCCTTTGCGTCCAACTGCTTGCTAGCCTTCTGCAAAGCGCCAAGGACAGCGTGAACTCTGGGTGTCACTCATCTGCAGCACAGAGGTAGTACATAGTCAGGGAGAGAGAGAGAGAGAGAGAGAGAGAGAGATTGTCATTGACAAGTCTAGCCGCTTGTCCCTGACCAGTTTGAACACATCGTGCATCGGGTACAGGGCTTCCCACCGGGCATTATCGTATCCTATATGGCAGTAGCCTTCTGGTGATTTATACTCGTTACTCACTCCCTTGTGCCCAACAATACGTTGGGTGGGCATGTTGCCCGAGGGACTTGACCGTCCCTCATGCCCAGGAGAGAGAGAGAGAGAGAGAGAGAGAGAGGGAGAAAAGAAGCAGGCCTCATCTTTCAAAGATGTCACACCAAGACAACGGAGATCAGGGCGCGCACGCGGGAAGCCTGTTGGAGAGACACGCGGAAAACAAGAGGTGTATTACTTGACGTCTAAACGGTCAGCGACGAACTCTAGCCGAAAGTTCGGCCACTCGAGGACAAGCAGCCCTGAGCAAAAGTGAGTCTTTGAGCGGGGGAATGAGCCTAGACTTAGTCACAGGTCCAAGGCGTTGCGGAAAAATCTACCACCTTTGTTTCATTCTTGAATGAAGCGTATGATCTCCTCCGGTAAATTCGGTTGTTTTATGCTACGACTTTCCATTCTTCCCCACAAAGCCTGGCCTTCGGCTCGGGGAGCCTGAACGAGAGCCAGCGATGCGAGAGAGAGAAACCTTAGCAGCCCCCTAAAAGCCTCTCTTCACCTTCACAAAGACGCAAGGAGAACCTCAAGCAAACAAATGGGAGACCAGAGATCTTTTCAGGTCTGGAGGCATGGTGGGGGAGGCGCGACTTCGCCCCGTGGGCAGCAAGTAGGACAGTGGTTTGATGTGGTGGGTGTGTTTGTCCTCCTCGGTGCTCAGGTGCCTGGGAGCCAGATGGTCGGTGTGGAAAGCGGCATCTGACTGAGCTCCGGGCTCGAGCCCAAGCCACAACGTTGTAAAGAGTCGATGCAGAAGATGGTGTGCTTTCTTCACTGGCTTTGAAGACTGGGACTCTGAGGTACTGGAGTTGTTTTCGGGCATTGGAGGCCAGGGTTGCCAGGCTGCCAGGGTCCAGGAACCGATTCTTCTCCTCTGTGCAGGATTCCGAGCTGCTTTCCACCGCGCATGTGCTCAAGCAGGAGAGCATGCTGCCGGGCTGCTGGTTTTCGCGATGCAATCAAGTGGGTATCATCTTGTGCATTCGCAGCCCTCGTGGCCCTATCGATGCTCCATGGGGTCACATAGCCCGTGGTTCCGACTGTTGCCTGCTGCTGGTGCCCCCGACACCGCCCCTCGCAGCTCCCGCTACGCAGGCTGCTAGAACGACTAGTGGCACTTGATTCATTTGCTGCTATCGGTCACTCGACCTTTATGCATTGTGCAATCGCCTGTGGGCCCGCCACTCCTTAGCATGTCAATGTAGTGTGCCCGGAACTTCTGCAGTGAATTTGAGTTATACCGATTCCTGAGCATGATCAGGCTCTGGTCTCCTTGGCGCTTCTACAGCGCTAGTAGTGCACGTATGATGCAGTGTGGTACAGTGGTGTCGTAGTAGGTGGTAGTCGAAGCACCAGCAGTAGCAGTCGTGTTTTTGAAGCAGTGACCCAAGGGGGCCGTTTTTGCCCGACACTTTCATTGCAACCTACCGCACTCATCTACAAACATTTTTTCAGCTCAAGATGAGACACCGCTGACCTCTTGGTCACACGCGAAAAAGTCCGGACGTGGATCAGCAAGCCTCCATAGATTTTGCAAATAACAAGTAATTGGCTACTTCTCGCCAGTAGCCCGAAGTTCTTCATAATCAACTTGAACCAAAATGCCATCTGGCAGCTGGGAATCCTCCAGTTGCTGTATGAAGCCGACGCGAAACGTCACAGAGTCGAGGCAGAGCAGCGGCGTGGGCACTGAGCATCTAAAACTGTGCAACATGTACAACAACTGAATGTAGATATAGGCGATGGCGCAAAGCATACAGCCATTGCCAGACACGGCGAAGTGACCATACAGTCACCAGCATTCATCCTCAGGACGTCCTGTGGAAGATGGCGAGTTGAAGCAGTGGGTCAATTTCGAGGCCTCTAAGCTGGCAAACGAGGCAGGCCATCCCCGGCTGTGCAAGGTTGGCACTTCAAGCCTTCGGACCCAGCTTTCTTGCTGTTGTAACTGTCTTCGTCTGCATGGAGGTCTACAGCAGCAATTTCGAAGTCCCATATGCTCCTCTGTTACCGAAAGACATTCGTCGACTTCGGCCGAGCGAGGCACGCCTGGAGGTATGGTGAGGTCAGGGTGAGGTGTACTCAGTAAGGGCATCTGCAAGACCCGGCCTTCGCGACGAGTTGCCAATTCATGGATCATGGCTCTCTCGCGGTTGATTGAGAGTTGGGTACATAGGTTGCATCAGGTATTCAGGTACACATCGTGGCACGGAGCGGATCGGAGCGGCACAAAGGGTTCCAAAGGGGGCAACTACGATGATAGTTGTGAGCAGCAAATTGGCTGAGTCCTCGGCCGTCACAATTGCAGCCAACGTTTAGGAACACGAGAACCAACTTCCCCCTGGTGTACTCTGCTGCAGATTGCACGGCTTGGCACTCAGACTAGGTGGACTCTTCCGACCTTTGGATACTGTCTCCGTGGCTCAGCTGGATGGCTAGTGTGAAAGTTGCAGGCAGCCGGAAGCTCCAACTTTTTCGAGTCTCAGGCCATGTCAGCCATACACGCGTTTGGGTCGTCGTGGCGACCTTGGGGACCGGCGGGCACAGCCCCTGCGGCACTTGGCCTCGCGCCGCCCTAAGTGCGGATGTCTGTGCCAGGACTCAAAGCAGCACAGCAACGCTCGAAGCCCCTGCTGAGGCTGTTATCGCAGCTGGAGGAGCCTCCACAGGCCGAAACACAGCAGTTGCATTTTGCCTGGCTTTGCCCATGAGACAGGCGATCCTGCTGGAAAATGTCGTGGGTCCAAGACTAAGCTGCCGGAGAGTTCCTGCCTACAGTGATTATAGTGGTGCATGCTTTCAAGATACAGGTGCGTTAAGTGATTGTTAAACGGTGCGTATCTCCGGGAAAAGCTATAGCAACGAACATGTCCTTGAAGGCACAGATGGCTGAAGACACTGTTTTGACGTTGTTCAGTTATTGCCTTGCCTCGAAGTGTGCGAAGGACTGCAGGTTGTCTTGAAATCCCTGTGTCTGCGCCAGTAGGTTCCGTATGTCTGTAGTGTTTTGCAGGCTTTGAAAGTTCGGAATCCTTCAAGATGATCAAGCAGGCGGATCCTGTTTCCGTGCTTCCGCAGTGTAGTGTCTGCGCAGCAGATACAAGCTAAGCTAGAGACTCAAAGCTGGACAGGGCATGTACTGCACATACCAATTTATTGAAGTCGATTTGTCAGGCTTTGCTGCGAGCAAACTTCGAAGTTCGCGTATTCCAGCTGAGCCCTCTTCAGCTCGGCAGCTACGCTTCGTTTTGGAGTCCGGTCGACAGAGTGCTGCCTCTGAGTCTTGAGTCTCTGACGAGTGTCTGAGGTATCCCCAACAGAAGGCCGCGCATTTACCTCCTCGCCCGACGGACCGCAGAGACCGCGGAGCCCGGCAAACCGGAGTTAGAAAAGGAGACGGAGCACTCTCCTTTCAGTTGCAACGGGTTCGGAGGGAGGTGCACATGAGCCCTTGATTAGTCCACTGATCCTGTCCAGAACCTCATTTCTTGATACCGGCACGGCTTTGTTTTCAATGCTTGTGGCGGCTGCAGGGAGGCACAGCGTATTTGTTCGGCATTTTGCCTTGGCAGGTGCTTTACCTTTCAACCCCAGGTTTTAAATTTGCGAACTCAATCCCAACTGTTCTCAATGTCAATGTCGGAAGTTCTCGAACCGTAAATTCTGTGTTTGCTCCGCAATGCGTGTCGTCAGGGTGCTAGAAAGTGCATGCACCTCTTCTGACAGGGTCGAATCTGCAGAACGGTTGCCTTCCCGGAATGTTGAAGAATCCTTGGAAAACGATCTCGGAACTCGTGACGGCAGCATGCACCCACTGCATCAGGACTTCCCTGGCGCAGCGGTTTTTCCAGAGGCTCCACGGCCCTTGTCGGAGTACTTGGAACCAGATGAGGAGCGGGGAGCGGCTGGTCCAGAGAGAAATTTGTAGTGGGATGTGGTGGCTGCATATTGGATTTCCCGTGACTAGAGTCGTAGACTGTCGTAGAGCCCGTCGCAGAGTATCCTAGAGTCCTAGAGTCTTTTGCAATGCCACGCCACTCGACATGACCGAGGCCTGCAAGCTGCCAGGTTTCATGCCCGTAAAGTGATTCCCAGTGTGACAGTGAGCAAGAGCACAGGGCTCCCAGCACCGAGGGCCGCACATGGCAGCACCGTACGCGCAGCGTAGGCACTGCTAGGCTAACACTTGCCAGGCCAGGCCTTCTTAGTCACAGGGCAGCACAGAGGGCAGCACCGTCTCGCCCTTTGGGCAGGACTTGGATCTAGAAACCTGCTGCGTTCCAACGCGGATGCTTGAACTCCTGGAAGCTCGAAGTCAGCGCTGGGAGGCTCCGGATTTGGACTGAACCTACAAACCCAGCTGTGCCAGGTAGCAAGAGTGTCGCAAGCTAGCACGGCCAATGTAGGGCACGATATTCACGTCTACGCTGTATGCGTCGCACCAGTCTCTTCTGAGAAAGTCTCAAGGTCCGCATGTTTTCTGGCTTGAGTGGATGTGCGAGGTGGTGACTCCTAAGAGCACAAGCTCATCAACCTTCACGGCAGGCTGCGAGACATGCAACACTGCACATCAGCGTAGCCGGCAGCGGTCCTTGGCTCTGTCGTCCACCGTCGCAGACTCATTCCAGAAAGTTTCTCGACAAAGTTCGACCCAGTGTGGAGCTGAAGTCTGAAGCGTCAGTGGCCCCTCTGAAGTGTCACATCCTGGAGAATCCTGGAATAATCTCTCTCCCTCCAAAATTCCAGTCTCCTTCCGCGTTTTAGAGTGGGTGCGCAGGCTACACCACTGCCTGTTTCGAAGCTCATCGATTTGGACCGCTTCTGGCCAAGGACGACGCACTCCCAGGCGTCGCGATGCGTTCCTTCGCATCATGCAGAGTCGCTAGAAATGCTCGGAGGCGACAGTGACAGCGAAGAAGCCTGGTGTCGGCCGGTCTTGCTGCCTGGCGGGCGAGTGAAGCGCCTTGTGATGCCTGGAGAGCGTGTGAGGCGAGGCTTCGAACCAAGGTGCATTCGTTGAAGAGAGAGATGTCGAGACGTCGAGCCATGGAGCTCAGTGCAGGTACTTCACACCTCGAGAGCTGCTCCAGATCGCCGGATTTCCCTGCAGCTTTTGCTTCCCATCAACTATCACGCCACGCCAGCGTGACCTGGACGAAGCTCGAACTTTCTGGACGCGTGCTTCGTCCATGACATGCCCCAGCTATGACTTCTCGGTCAGTCATCCGAGGTTACAAGCTCATCGGGGACTCAGTCAACGTTGATGTGGTTGCTAAGCTGCTGCATTTTCTTATCTTTGAGTGGTCTGATGTTGGCCGGAACAACAAAAAGGACGTTTGATTCAAGCGCTTCACTTTGCTGCACGAGCAAGTGTTGCGGTAACCGCGTTTGATGGCATTGAAACTCAGAGGGCGTGACCCTTTGTAGGTTCTTGGAACGCCGTCAGGTGGCATGCGAGCGATCTGAAAACAGCCATTGCCACGCGTGCGAGAGTTTGCGAGACTTGAGTCTTCTGAACGGTGAGCACAGAGATTGCCGCGACAGTTCGGCTCAAGGCCGGCATGAACTCGTTCGTTCCAACAGCGTGTTTCTAAGCTGAGGACTTGCAGACACAAGCAGAGGGCAGGCTTCTTGTGGGGCAAGCGCGGAAAGCTCCGAAATTGTGTTGGGAAGCGTGACCTGGCGCCAGAAGCTCAGAGCGTGTGAATTGAACTGTGGGCACAAATCGCGCACGACGGCTTGGTAAGATCTAAGTATTTCCTCTTTGTATACGAGCCATGAGGGAGAGGACATTTCTAGCCCGACACCATAGCGGCTCTCGAACCTCTCATAGTGGAGTGCCTGATTTTATCTGCCTGAATGTAACTGAAAAGATCCTTGAAAGCATCAATGGGTACCCTCCGCAGGCAGCCGGCCATGGCGGAGGACGGAAGAACAGTTCCGAGCATTTTGGCCGGTCGGCCTGAGAGACACTCGTTGCAGCATTGCGGTTGGGACAGGCGAATCCGGCTTTGGTGGTGAAGACACGCAGCCACCGCCTCAATGAGACTTTGCTTTCGACTCGAGTCGTCTCTGGCACTGTAGCGAGCATACAGGCATATTACAGGCACTCTTACTGCGGAGGAGTTTGCAACATCTCTGCACATGCCCAAGCTTGCACGGTTCGCCCTCAATTCGTTTGGTTTTTGAGCTTTATCAGGGACTCGCCAGCCCGGTCAGAGAGATTGCGTTGCGTGGTGGAATGTGGCGAAAAAGCTTCGGTCTTTGGAACGTGTCTCCCTTGCTTGGTTCAGCCCGAATCTCGCAGGTGCACATTTGGATTTGGATCCAAAGATGAAGGAGCTCAGGTCTTGCACAAGGAGAGTCCGTATAACGTTGCTCGTCAGACCGGCCGGTCACCAGAAAAATAGCATCTCTTCTCAATCCTGCCGTGGCTCAAGCACTGGCCGCCGCGCTCTGGCCATGAAAGTGAGACGACGCATGGCATGTAGGCACCCTACCTGCAGCGCTGGAGCGACAAGACTTGGGCTGTGGAGTACACCTGGTTGACCGAGCACTTCGAGCTTGCTAGGTTGCTAGGCCGCTAGGCGGCTAAGTGCCCTTCAGAGAAGAAGCAGTCGACGACGACGTGTCTAGGCTTACTGACAGCTCATCGGACACAGTCGACGCGCATCTCGCCCATGGTGGATGCCTGCGAAGATGAACAAACAGCATTGCTTAGGAAGCAACCAGGGCAGATTTGATTAGGATGGGCGGGATGGGACTTCAGCAGGCTGTCAGCAATGCCGTCAAATGCAAGATGCAGAGTGAAGAATGATGCCAGCTTGTTGCACCGTGTTGAACTCAAAGGCTGCCACTGAGGTATGTGCTGTCAAGACGGGAGGATCTGGAGCAGTTCGCAGATGCCGAGGATGGAGTGCAGTCTGAAAGTGTTGGCATGTGACAGCTCGGCAATACACAACACGACGATCGATTTTGAAGAGGCAAGAACGGCAAACTTCACACAGCACTTCACAGCCTTCGCATCAGGGCATCCAATGCATACGCAGCTGCAAGGACAGTGCCTTTGGCCCGCTCTCAGTGTCGCCGTTTGTGCCGTGCGCTGCTGGACGCATTCCGTACGTCTTGCAGGCCTGCGGGGTAGCCACGTGCCGTTGAAGCAAGATCGGGCATGGCTTCGTGCCGTAATCCTTCGCACCAGGCCGCTCGGCTCGGTCCGGAGGAGACACCGCTATGCCATTTGATTTCATTTGATGGTAGATGGGCGGTTATTGCTGTCATGTGAATCTGGGCAGACGCTGATCTGCGTTCGCAGGATGTCCTGTGGGACCTGGGGTGCGGCGATGGCGTGGTACTCATCGAGGCACCTGGACCTACATGGCAGCACCTTTGTGTGGGACGAGGTGAGCCGAGGAGGTGACCGCACAAGTTTACATCATTTTACATCGGAAGCTTCACTCCAATTGTTTGGGAATTAAGAATTAAGAAGTCTCAGCGGCTTGAAACAAATGCGACCTTACCCTCAATGAAAAAATCAGCCATTTCAGTTCGTCGGCCTAAAATGCAGATGCTGGGCAGGCGACGTGCTGAAATCCATTGAGTTTATGGCAGGGCGCAATCCTTCCCGTAGGCCACTCAACCCGCTTGGGTATCCCTTTTGCAGCTTGCAATATCGTTAGTACGCTTGTTGCTATCGCAGTCTTACTGCTGACGCTACTGCTATGGTACCACGCTGTTGCTGTTTCCACCGCTCTTGGCCCCCTCTTCTACTTCTCACTGCCGTTGCCAGTGGTACTGTTGCTACCACCGCTGGCTGCAGTGCGCTCGTCCTTGTGGACTTCGAGTCAGGCAAGCGGGAGCTTCTAAAGCTCGATGTTTCGACATTTATCTGATCATAGACCTCGGCCGCGTGGTTGAGCTTTGTCTTCGGATGACAGGCCGGGGCCTCTCAGACAACCCCCGAGATGTCTTTGTCCCCCCTTCCCTTCCCTGCTACCAATCCTATTGCGGCCGTTTCCGATGCCACAACTCATCCCGTCCCTCTAATCTTATGTACATCTGTGGGCGCTGTCAATGAAACTCGAAACGTGCTTTGAATAGTAGCGTGTGTTTTTCGCTACTGCCACTTTGGGGGGATCTTGCTGCCTTTCTTTTGCTTTTGCACCTGAAACCACCTCTAATCCAAACTTGCTCAAAGAGGTTTTAAGCTTAAACGGCGGATATGCTTACAGGTGAATTCCACAGAGCGCGTGTACTGTGAGAGGGGCTGTTTAATCAAAGGGGAGGGGATTACTGGTAGTATTACTGGTGCTTCAAGTGTTGGTCGTCGCTGGCAGTGCCCAGCGCCAACCCTCGCCGATCGTCCAGCCTTCTCAAGTCTTAGTTCGGACAGGCGGCTCGTCGCTGTGGCTGCCGTTGCGTAGGGCTGGACATCGACGGCCCGCCCCTGGGAATGCGATTGGCCTTTGGAATACTGCTTAGTCAGGATGTTCCTGTGCTTACCGCATGGGCATGGGCTGAACCTGGAGCCTCGGCTTGGCCATTGAGGCTCAAATCCAATTCCGTCCACGAATCTTGTGTGAAAAAGGGAACACCTTCAGCCCGGATGCAGACACCCGCATTGTGTGCCAAGCTGTCGTGAAGCCTGTTGAGTCCGAGCATGCTCCTACGCTTCTTGTCCCACAGCGGCCCCCATAGGCTCCGGCAGCACATGTCTTGTGACTGTGAGGTGCATCGCAGCTGCACGGCAGCGCGCCCGGGAAGCCAATGTCGAGGACCAGAAATCAAAGTTGATGCGGATTGGCAGAGCGGTTTCCCGTGCAATGCGGCAGCGTGGCAAGTGGCACTCCTCACGAGCAGTGAATCACGCTGCGGAGTCGGAGTGTGCTCAGGAGAGGTGCACGTTTCTTCGTTGCGACCTCCTGCAGCTTCCCCAGGCCCCAGTTCCGAACGCTCGAGCCATGTTCATGAATTCGTTCCGTTGATGTCATTAAAGGAGAAACGGAAAGGTTGTGTTGGGCATGCCCTCGCTACCACGACACGGGACCCAGCAACTTTGTAGAGGCATACATAGCACAAGATGTTGGAAGGCAACTGGGAGGTTGGTGCAAAGACGGGAAGAACAGCAGTCGTGGCGGTATGGGGCGGGGGCAACGCAGGCCATTCAGCGTCAAGTGGCTTCGCGTTTCCGGGTCAGTGGACGTGCTGACCCGCCGTTGTAGAATGGCGGATGATGCCATTTCAGTCAGCATATCCGTCTTCTGCTTTGCTATCTTCTGGCACAGCACACATCATGATTGTCGTTTGCTCTTCTTTGTGGATGGGTCTTTCGGGGCATGAGCTTTCTAGATTCAGGGATAGGGGGTGTGGCTCGTGAGGAAAGTAAGTGCGAGGTCCAGCCCTACTATGTGAGATTCCCTACCATGGGCGGTGAGAAGCCATATGGCAAAGTAGAAACTCGAAGCCGCCCCAACACAGCCTTCGCGAAGCCCCTTCATGCAGCAATTCAAGCAGAGGCTGCTGCCAAGTAGCGAGAGACAGAAGAGACAAATTGAACCGTGGGATTTGACAGGGCACGCTCGGCGGACTTTCGGCCGTGCAGGACGTTGAAGTTCCTTCGCACTGCAACGAAAGGCAAGTAGTAGAAGTCCAAAGATCCTGTCCAGGAGTTTCAATCCCTGCCTGCTGCGACATGTGCGCTGGTGTTCCTTACGGCGCACGGCCTCGTTAAGCTGTCGAGATGGTTGCACGAGGCCTGGGCTGGGATGGCGAGGGTTTCCGCGCCAACCTGTCAGCCTTCAGCATGCTTCAGCCATTGCTTGGAGGAGTGGCGAGAAGGCTCAGCAAGACAGCTGCGCTTGGTCACCTGCGTTGAGCCTCCTGACTTTGACTGAAGAGCTCGGTGCTTCTGCCATTTTCATGTTTCTTCAGGCTTGGGGTTTGAGGGGTTCACAAGCACGGCAGCTTTCAATCCCAGTGTCTTGACATCGTCCGCAATATTCCGCAATCAACTCGGATACGACGAGCACAAACTGAAGCACTCTCGCCGCACAATGGTTTCGTGATGCCTGAAGCCCGCAGTGTTGCGATGCGTGTGAAGGCTTGGCCTGCAGCATTACCCGTGCACTGCTCGCTTCGCTATGTTTTTCTCATGTCCGGTGAAGCAGAGGCGTCAGCTGAGCTGCAAGATGGTTTCGAAGCTCCTTTCGTCAGGATGGTGTTTGTTAGTCATAGCCAGTCATAGCCTTCCGTGTCGACCGTCGGCAACGTGACATTTTTGCGAAGATTGGAAGCAGCGAACATCTCTTGCCGTGTTGGCGACCGGTGTCCGCGGTTGTGAG